TGTGGCGTCCCAAACCAGTTCTTAACCATCGTGTCACTCGGCCGGCCCATGGATACTTTTTTAAATATCAAAGAATTTATGGTAATTAAGTTATCAAATTATTGAAAAGATATAAGATGTTCTTCATGTTTGCTTACAAATTTAGCTTGAGAACAGTAGGAGAATGAATTGAGGTTGTATAATATATCTTATTTGCCTTTTAAAAAGAGTACATATTTTCAGCATTGCTGATCCTTTCAGAGAAGGCTGGGAAGAGGAATAAAGAGGAACCACTTGGGAGAATCTTTAGTATTTGATTAGAAAATTTTTCATAAAATTATTTTTTTTTCATAAAAAGGAAAGGAAAATATATTTATATATTCTTTAGTCTACTTTTATGAAAAAGAGGGCAAAAAACAAACGGAAAGTTACTTTCTCAAGAGAATTACATAAGCCCTAATAAATCATTTCTATGTAAGAATGAAGTAAAATGTTGCAAAATCTTTCAATTTTAAGAGAAACTGGAAATCTGGATTTGTAGATAAACTTTCATTTTTCAATGTTGGCATCTAATTCAAAATGTAAAGAGATACTGTGCCAAATACAAAACTAAATGAAGCATGTCTGCGGTTTGAATTTGACCCGTGAAGCCCACTTCATGATTGTTGATTCTATGGCCCAGCAGAACCCTTAACACTTGTGACAATGACACTCAGTCATTATAAAGAAATTTTATGTTCAGAATAATCTGTGGAGAACCTCTTATAAGATTTCTAAAGACAATGAAGGCATTAAAGGTTAATAAATAACAGCTAATATTTTCTGATCGCCTACCTGTGCCAGTTACTGTTCCAAATGTTTTGCGCAAAATGAATACATTTTAGCCTCAGACTCCCTATGAAGTGCTATTTATATTCATTTTACTGACACAGACATAGAAAGAAGGAGGGGTAAGTAATTTACCCAAGAACACAGAGCTAGTGAGAGGCAAGACTGGAATCTAAACCAGTAGTCTGGCTCTGAGCCTGCTATGCTGCTTGACTTTACTTTCATACTCTTAATAACTAACATATGCTGTATATTTCTTAGCATGTCATTAGCATCAATGAGTATCATTTAGTAATAGATAGAAAAATGACCTTTTCTAATTTTACTCAACTCTCCTCTCCACTCAAAGCTATAAATCATGACTATAGGCTATAATTTTTTTGAGACTTTCTTATCTCTTTTTTTTATTTTTTCGAAGATGTTTTTTATTGGGCAATTGGGGGATGGGGAACAGACAAGTTGCTGTCGTTTTGTTCTTCAGTCTAGTTGTGGAGGACGTTGCTTCACTGGCCCAAGTTGGCACCATCATTNAAAACAAAAAAAAAACTCCTTGCGTGGTATAACGTTCAGTTCAGATGAGGCTATAAATCAGCACCTTGTTCAGTTTTTTGCCAATAAAGACAGGTCCTTCTATGAACAAGGAATTATAAAGCTCACTGAAAGATGGCAAAAGGTTATTGAATAAAACGGGCAATATATCATTGATTAATCTTTGTTCTTTACCTAAATAAATGACCTTTGGAAAACGTAGACAAAATACATCATGACTTTTCCAACAACCCAATAGTATTCTTATTTAAATGATGTAGAATTTAAACCTGAATTGCGAGAAACATGAACTCTTTCAACCTTCTCCCCAACTTTTGTGTGCTAGAGGGAGCATTCGGACAATTGTGATAGGACTCAGAATGCTCATCCATAATGTGTTTGGCATCTAGCTTCCCCTACATTATTGCATTGAGTTGTGCTGAGGATTGACTTAGCCATGGTTATTTAGCAGCATTTTGTATTTGAGAATTGATATTTACATTATTTTTTCAGGGTTCCATCTTCTACCGAAATTTCTCTGAAACTTCATGTTGCTCAACCAGAAAATGACAGCCATGTAGCATTATTAAAAATGTACACATCATCAGACTGTCAATATGAGGTAAGCTGTATGTTCGCTTAATTTTTAAGATTTTAACTATAGAATAAACTGGAAATATATTTTTATATTAGCCTCAGGTATATGATGATGTGGAAGGCAGTAAATATTAGAAATAGACATTTATATAAAAAAGAAATAGGCATTTATATTACTTTATTCTCCATTTTGCCTACTACCACCACCTCAGTATTTTCTTACATGGGCCACTGAAAGTATATATCTTAGTAAGTAATACAAAATGAAATAAAAATTGAGACGGTAGATTAATCTTTTCAATTTGGAATCTCAAAGTCCAGAATCCTTTATAAATTGAAGAACATCATGAAACCAACTTATGTGGCTTAAATTTAGTAGTCAATATGATGTATATTGGTTTCCAGATCTACTGTTATGCTTAAGGGTCTTCTTACCTTTTTACTTTACATGCCTGGTTCTAAGGATTCCAGATTTAAGTCGTTGAAGTATACATTTGTGGTAACATCACAGGTTTCTGGTTTATGTGAAATATACTATTTCTACTCAGCCACTTTAAACCAAACTTAAATATTTGGATTCTTTATTAGAGCTAACTTTCTTATGGTAAACTAGGACTGGTAGGTCAAATGAGTAGACTATGCTCCTACAATCAATTTTTAATTGGACCAATAGCATGAGCTATTTTAGATTTTACGGAATTTATTAATGCTTTGATATTAATGCTTTTAATGTTTTCTGTTTCTAACATTGAAAGATTTTGCAGGGCTGTAATGGTTTTTAACTTGTACCTTCATATTTCTAATATTACAGAGATAATAAGAATTGTGTTAATAATTTGGCTCCAAATACTGCATGTTCTCAAAATGTTCATGTTTTTACAAATACTTTATATTTTTAAAAAGTCTGTTTTTTTGACAAAATACAGTCATTTTATAACCTTCCTATGAAAGATTTATTCCCTTTTCCTAGACTTCCTAATATCAAAGAAGGTGTATTTATGCTAGACATAATTAGTGATGAATTTGTTTTCAAAATATTGTTTTGGCTTAAATTTTACTAAATGTACTATTTGTTTTGGTCATATAACATGTGTAAAGTATTTTTGTAAAATTTACTCAGAAATTTAACTCTGTTTAAATGCTGTACAATTATAGATTTGACACTTTAAAATACTAGTTATATAATAGGCTGATTACTTTGTACTTAATTTTTCAACAAACATGTATAGCGTCTGGGCTCAATCATTCAATAAATTCTTTAGCTTCCATGATCTGGTAATGATATTCGGATTAATTGAATATTTTAGTTAAGGGTTACCATATATTCTGTTGTATTCACCCACTTGTCAAAGACTTAGAATATGGGAAAATATACTAAACAGTATAATTACACTTGATACAAATTAATTGGTGGTTCAGAGGATTCTTTTGAGCTCTTGAGTGCCTTTAGGTTTGTTATTAAAAAAAATAATGATTATGTTTAAAGATGTGCAGAAGTGCTCAATTTAATAAAAAATAAACTAGAGGAGTTTAGGAAAAATAACCTTATTTTGAATGATTGTTTTAAACTAGGTGACAGTTAAGACTTCCTTTTCACAAATACTTGGACAGGTAAGAGATGCTCCTGTTTGATTATTTATTGCCTTGTGAATAGATACTGTAAGGCAGGGATTGCAAACTTTTTCTGTGAAGGGCCAGATTATAAATATTTTAACAGACCACATATGGTCTCTTGCTGCTGCTCATACTACTACAGCTGCTGCTTTCTTCTTTCTCTTTTTTCCTTCTTTCTTCCACTTTAATAAATCTAAAAACCATTCTTGGCACAGAGACCATAGTTGGCCAACTTGGGCTTTAAGGGGATGCCTTCATGTTTGATACTTCCTAGAGATGAGAGCTGGTTCCTGATTCTCAAGCAAGTTAATAGCTTTTGGCTAACTGAATGTCATATTAAGATTTCATGTTGCTCATACTATACTTATAATTCATAGGCCAATAAGTCTGTAGGCTCTATCATATACATGAACATTTTCAAAGAACTTTTTATTTTGTGCATGCTCAGTTTGTAAAAGGTAAAAGTGAATTTTATTAAAAATAAACATGTTGAAATAGTTTAAATTCATTTGGAGAGTATCTTTCTATAATTTGTGTTACAAAAATAATTTATGAAGTAGTAGAATTGCTATATTATTAAACATTGTTATAATTTGCAGAATTGTACAACCAGGACATAAATAGATAATATCGATTGGTCAGAGAAATTATATAGGTTTAAAATTTATTAATTTTTTATTGTGCATTTTTTATTACTTACACTTTATTTTTTGTGTTTTGTAGTCCTGGTATAGCAGTATATTTTTAATTTAAGTCGTTTAATTCTGCAATTATAATAAAACTCACAAATCAAAATTAAATTAAAAACTTTCTAAATGTGCATTATCTCATTTGAGCCTCACAACAACCTGATGAGAACTGGTATGTGATTATTATTAAATTTGTGAACATTAGAAAACTGTAAGTTAATGTATAAAAATTTTGTGCTACATTATAAAGAGAAGATTAAATGTTAATACAAGTTGGAAAATAGCATCATGGAGAGTTATAAGTAAAGTGTTAAAGGATCAATTATTCAAAAAATTATCCCTTGGAATATAGGGGAAGAATTCATGCTATCGTATTTTTAGTATGTCCAAAAGACATGTAACTGTACACAGTGGTATTAGCTGAGGATATAACATACTTTCGTATATCATCCTGGTGTCTCATAATTCAGATTAGTGACACGAAAAAATCTAGTTAGGTCAATCCTCTATAGTCAAGTATAACTATATGTGCATCAAAAAATGACAGATTAATATTCTTGTTTAGACATTTTTCTAAAAAATAAGGATATGTGGGTGTTACAGGATCAGAGATGGGTGCTTTTCTTTTACTTTTATTTTTTATTTTTTATTTTTTATTGGGGAATTGGGGGGATGGGAACAGCACTGGGGAATTGGGGGAAGGGGAACAGACAAGTTGCTATCCTTTTTGTTCTTCAGTCTAGTTGTGGAGGACGTTGCTTCACTGGCCCAAGTTGGCACCATCATTGCGCTCTTCCC